ATACATGCACACACACATACATGCACACACACATGCACCCACCCGCACGCCCTTCTTTTCCCTGTCAACTTTGGAAATATTGAATAGAGACACACAGAGTATATACAATAGATAAAAAGCATGTGGGGTTTTTGTTTTGCTTTGTTTTAGTGTAAATTCAGTTGCTTCATGTACCAATACAATTGAAATGCTGTACTTCCTTCAGTGCATTAAAGTTCATCTTCCAGTCACAGGAAGTACTAAGGAAGACCCTTTATGATACTCAGGAGGAATGTGCATACACAGAACAGAGCTATGACTGAGTTTCCTGGACTTGGATTATCCTTTCAGTCTTCTAAATCAGGAAGAGGCCATAGTATCCCATGCCTTTCCCTCCTGAGTTATGCATGTTCCTGCTTCCCAATGAAAACAGGAGCAGTGAGAGACACATATCCTCTTAATACCTTCCTTTTTCATTTTTCCCAAATTCTCTCATTAATTTTTTTCATTATAATATAATCATAAAAACTTATAACTTTGCAAGGACCAAATTACAAATAAACATTAACTTCTTATTGTGTTACAACTAAAAATGCTAGGATATTACAGTAAATTAGCAAGACAAAATTTCTGCTTTCTTGGAGGTTCCATTCTAATAGAGAAGAAAATTAACAAAATGTATGTGAGTTGTGTGGAATTTTAGAAGATGTTATGAGGAAAACAATAGAAGGGAAGCTAGAGAGGAATTGCATGGAAAAATACAATTTGATGGTGATTAATTCACAGAGAAAGTGACCTTGGAGCAAAGGCTTGAATAAGGTCGGAGGATGAGCCATAGTGGTATCTGAGGACAAGTATTTCAAAGGCAAGGCCCCAAGGTTTAGACCTACCTGGTGTGTCTGAAGAAGAAGAAAAATGTTCCTCTTTACAGAGTAAAGTAAAAGAAAGAGACAGTAGTGGAACTGAAATCATTCAGTAATAGGAGAGGGATAGATATAATTACTCTGCATGAAATTAAATACAGTTGAAAGAATTTGAGTATAGCAGTGAAATGATCAACCAAATTTAACAAAGAATAATTCTGGGTTGTTCATTGAGGATGGTCTTTGGAAGAAGCCTGTGAAAAATTATAGAGATTATTTGATGTGCTCTATCAGTCCAGTCTAGGCCTTGAGTGATCTTTCCAAAAATGACGAGAAGTGATTTCAATCGATTATATTTTGGTGGCAAAAACTACGTGACTTGTTAATGAATTGGATATGGAAGGGGAGGTAGAAGTTAAGAATAGGTATTAAGATACAGCTTGAGCAACTGGAAACATTGATTTGTCATTATCTAAAATAAAAAGACTAGTAGAGGAAGAGTAATTCAATATTGTCTATACTGTATTTGAAAAGCCATTTTGACATCTGCTATAGACTGAATGTTTGTGTTCCCCCAAAATTCAGATATTGAAGCCAAAATCCCCAACATAATGGTATTTATAAGTAGGACATTTGGTATTTAGAGGTACCTACGGTATGAGAGTGGTGGAGTCCTCATGAATGGTATTAGTGCCCTTATGGGGATGAAGAAACCAGAGCCCTCTGTTTCTACCATATAAGTGTAGAATGAGAAGACAACTTAATTTGGGATGCTGAGGCAGGCCGATCACAAGGTCAGGAGTTCAAGACCAGCCTGGCTAATATAGTGAAATCCCATCTCTACTAAAAGTACAAAAAAAAAAAAAATTAGCTGGACCTGGTGGCAAGTGCCTGTATTCCTAGCTACTTGGGAGGCTGAGGAAGGAGAATCACTTGAACCTGGGAGGCAGAAGTTGCAGTGAGCTGAGATCATGCCACTGTACTCCAGCCTGGGCAACACAGTGAGACTCTGTCTTTAAAAAAAAAAAGAAAGAAAGAAAAAAGAATGAGAAGACAGCTGTCTGCCGACCAGGAAAGGTACACGAGATCTGCTAGCACCATGATCTTGACAGCAATGACAGACAATGAGGGAGACTGACAATGAGCAAAAAGCAAGAACGATGATAAATAGTGTAGAATATGACTTTAACAATGAAGAGTAACAGTTAATACAGTATAATGCTTAGGTATAAGTTATAAGTATTAAAGCTGGTGTATTTCCAGAAGAATAATCTGGCAGTGCCACTGTGAAACAAGTGAGGCTTACCAATCAAAAGGATTATAGGGAAATGAGGGATCTTAAGGAGAGGTTGGTGTTGGTTCAAGCAAACAGGTGAAGGGAGCGTTGAGATAAGTTCAGGACACGGGGGGCTTTGCTCGTGATAGAGAATGTTTCAGAAGGCACAGAATATGAATTATGATTCTACAGTTTTTAAATTTTGGCAAATTCTTTAATTTTTAAGCTTAATATTTTATTATCTTTAAAATAGGGATTGTAGTACTCTCCAGGTAAGATTGCTTTGCGGATTAAATGACATGGGATATTCAAAGTGCTTAATATGTAGCAGGGATAAAACTGGTAACCATTATTTGGATGGGTCATTTTTAATACTTATATTAGTTATAAGTTTCTTTTGCTGGATTGTTCCTTGAGTCCTGGACAAAATTAGAGTTGCAGGCTTATTTTAGAATGGATTGAATATCTTTGTGTTCCAAAGTTACCCATTTGGTACAACAAAAATTTTTTGAGACTGTGCCTTCATAGAGTCTCCCTAAATCTAACAAAAGTCTAGATATTTTTCCTATTAAGGACGTCTTAATTTACAGAAATTTCTCCGGATATGACAAAGAAATATATACTCACTTTTAAATGCGATTTCTGTTTAACACTGCCAGCAGGGATTCTGTTATGCTTTCCTAGCATATGGCATTTTATTTGGCCTCCTGGGCAAAAGATCATTAATCCATACCAATATTGTGAGGAAAAGAGGTGCTTTATGGCCTCCTGTGTGTAATTTCCTAACATTGTTTTATTTTTTAGCATATTTATATTTTTGTAATTCTAGACTTAGCTACATTTCCAAGTTTCATATATGTTATATGTATGTTCTGTATCATACCGCTCACTTTATATTGTTTGGAATATTTAATAAACTGACCTTATACTTATTTCAAAAAGATATTTTATATTATTGTGAATGACAAAATAACAGTACTTGACATGAATAAATATATTTATTAACTTTTTTTAAATATATTTATAAATATTGTAATAACATTTTGTTAAAGGCCAGGAAATGAAACACCAGGAGGGCATGTATACATTTTTTGAAACATTGCTGTACTGAATTCAAAGCTTTAGTTGTTGCTCTCAAGTAGTTTAATAACATAAATCAGAACTTGTTTGCCTAAGTGAGAAAAGATTATCCAAATCCATTGATTTTTATCTATTTTAGAATCCCTAAGGGCAGTTACTTTGTCTTAATGTCCTGTGAAATGTGTAGAATCATTCTGTGCACATAAAGTGCACTCTACCAGATGGTATTTGATGGCTGTGTTCATCTTTAACATGAGCAGAATATTAGTTTAGAGAAAATTTGTTTTCTTTTTCAATATTTCCATTTGCCAGTGTCTAGGAACATTGCTTCCTTGGATAAATACGTTTTTGTCCTATTGGTGCTTCTGAAAAATCAGGGACTCCAAGTCAGATGCAGCAAGTAATCTGGTTGAGTGAGCTGGAAAGAGTAATTGCTTTGATTTTTAAAGGAATCATATGTTCTTCAAGCAAAATTAAAATTAAATTAAAAATAAAGGAAATACTTGCTTTAATCCTCACCATATCATTAGCAAACCAGTGGCTAAAGTGTGTTACTTGCCAGCTATCCAAAATACACATTATTTAGTCATTTAACCCTATTTATTGAAGTGCTCAAGGTAAACCGAGGAGCTCTCCTTCCACATGCTTGCCTCCAGAACTGACAACCTCCTTGCTGTTCTTGAAACTCACTAGGCCTGTTTCTACCTCATGGCCAGTATCACTTGCTCTGCCCTCTTACTGGAATGTTCTTCTCCACATGACTTGTTCTTTCACCTTTTACAAGCATTTGCCAAAATTTCACATTGTCAGTAAGTCTGTCATGATCACTTCTGTGTGAGTGTAAATCCTAACCCTGCCCTCCGTGTATGTCCTTTGTGAAATATTTTGTAGTTGAGCCTCACGTATAAAGAACTGAAAACAATATCTTCTAATTAATTTTTAAAATTCATTTTCCCCCACCACCATGTAAGCTGTATAAGGGTAAGATATTTGTTTTTGTAGTTTACTGCTGCAGCCTCAGGGCTTAACACAGTGCAGATGCTCGATAAATATTTTTTGAATTAATGAATGAATACTGTAAATAGTAGTAGTAGCATCCTCATTTTGTACTTGAGTGCCTTGTCTCAGACGAGATGGTAGAGCTGAGGTTCAATCCAGGTAGCTGGCTCCAGAATGTTACCTGTAAATACAAAATAAGCCTCAGAAAGATAACCTATTATACTCTTCTCAGACTTTAAAGAAAGGATTTGACTTATCAAAAATAGACACAAAATGTTTTTTCACTAAGAAGAAACAATTTTTATCTCTTATACTATGGAAAATAGTGACTAAAACTATACTCCCATTTTCAAGATGACACAGTTATTACTATGTCTAGGTTAAAAAAACGTATCTTTCAATTAAGTAAAGTACAGAGAAATCTGGTTGAAATGATGGCAGAAATAGTAATGTAATTGAAGGCATATGCATTTTCTATTTACCAGGAAAGTTACTATGAGGTTTAAATGAAAAAAGACATGGAAAATTTTAATGTAGTTTTTGACACATTGTAAACAGTTATTTTGAGATGGCTGGTTAGATTCATATATAGAAAACATATTTAAATGTTGCTAATAGAAATATATTTATCACACATATACACACGTAATCCTAACACTTGAAGGGTAAATGCTTCTGTTGATATTTCCAATTATTCCTTTTATGCATCATTTCTCACCTTTAGACGTTGACAAATAAATATTGTCTATACAAGTGCTAACACTGGTAATGGATAGATTGCAGAATTTTGATGTGAATTACACCATTTCCTTTTGCTTTCTTGGCTGAAAAACTGTAAATACTTCCTAATTATTATACCACCCCAGAGCCTGAAACAACAATAAAGGATCATATTAATAGATAAAACGAAGTAAGAAATCGAATGAGAATTTCCTTTTAAATCCTAGGTCTTCAAAGTTTCCACTATGGGCACAACCTCATGTAAGAATGAATTAGGCAAATTATTGACATTCACAGTCCTTAAAAGCCTCAGGTATTTGAGTGGTCAAATAAAACAGAAGAAATATTTCACGGTACCTCTGGGATTGAAAAGAATTAACATAAAATAATGAAATATAAATAAAACAGCACAACATTCACGGTGCTCTCATCTTACATGAAGGATATTAAATATTACATAGATCTGATGCAATAAAAGATTCAATATTAAACCGGACTTGAAATTGTTTACATGAAGCTATCTTGTTTCAGAATGTGTTTCTTCTGGCTTTTATGAAACACAAGATTGTAAACTATTTCTCAATTTTAAAAAATTAAACAACAACTACTTATCAATAAACATGAATGAACAAAAAAACCAATATAACAAGTAAAAATTATTGACCAAGAGAAAAACAACAGGAAAAGATTAGTGCAAGCTTTTTAGAGTTAAGATCTCCAGATGCAATTCTCTGTTTCTTCAAAAAATTAGCTAGTATAATTATTTGTGTTTCCATTTAATCACTTTTCCTAATTCCTGTCTAGCAAAGAACAGAATACAAGGGAAAAATATCAAGCATCTACTATCAATCTTATTGAGCGTATTCTTAAAAATTCTTTTGCTTATTTTCTACTCTTACACTTCCATTATGATTAACTCAATGAAATCTAAAATTTTGGATTTTGACTAACATGGGATGTTTCAAACAGATTTTACCCTAGCTAGTTTATTACTCTCTTCTTTTTTTTCTTTTTTTTAACTATTTGTATTCCATTTTATTTTAGAGTGTGTGGCATGGGGAGGGTGGGAAGTTGGGGGAGAAAGCAATAGGCTTTACCCCAAAGAAGTGAAATATTGGCCTGGAAAAAAATTACTTTTGTCTGCTTAATTAAAGATTGACTATCGTGAAGATACAAGGGAAGAACTAACACTGTTTGTAAAATGGTTACTACCATAGTCCATAAGGAAGATGGTGGTAGAGAAGAAACTCAGACACAGCCAGATACAGCAAATATTTTAGATAAATCTGCTATGATCTGCTAATAGGTTGCATTGGAGGGTAAGAGTGAGTAGTTGAAATGTAGCTATGAACCCTGAGAAAGTTGGAGGATGGACTTGCAGGTATTTACTGAGATGATGAAGCAGCGAAACAGTACATTATTGTTTTAATTTATTTTATTTTTTGAGGTCTGTCAAGATGGAGAGAAGATCTAGATTTGGGGTTTTTAACCTTTTAAGTTAGGGAGGCTTGTTATTCATCTAATTGTGGACCCGTGCAGGCAACTGGATACACGTCTGAAATCCAGAGGAAAGGATTAGCCTAGTGATATGGCAGTTTCCACAGATAGATAGTATTTATAGTTACACTATTGAATGAGATGATTAAATAAGTGAAGTTCAAGGACCAACCTTTGGAGCAATTTGATATAAAATAAATCTTATAAATGAGGAGAAATCAGCAAAGGAAAATGCGGAACTACAGTTGATAATATGAGGATTGAAAGGAGGACAATATCATGTCATAGTAGCCATGTATATCACTTTTTTGAGAAACAGATTAAATAGTCTTGCAAAGCTTTTCTGACAGAACCTGGCACATAGTCAATATTCAGTAGTTTATTGATGACTGAAATTTTATTTTTAGTTGGCCCTTGATTCGGTAATTTGTGGGGTCCAGTAGAGGCTTCTGGCCATCAACCCATTACGGTAGCTGAAAAGGATGTTCCATGAGCAGGACTGTGTAACCCACGTCAAAGCCAGTGGATCTACCACTAGGCACCATACATTCCTGACTGTCTGGACTGGGAATTTCACACTCAGCCTCTTATCGCTGGGACAGTTATTATCCAGTCATTGAAAGAAACTCACATACTTACTCTTCTCTTGGGTCCTGCTAACTGCAGGGCAGTGTCTGTCTGTGGAGGGGCTGGTGTTTCTGCCAGGCTAGTAAGCTAAAAATAAAATACACCTGGCCCTTTATCTAATATTTCCCCCCTTTGTAGCATGATGCTTAGGCATATCCTCCTCTTACCTCTCTGATAGCATCCAGATTTCTTTCTTTATCCATGTCTTTTTTAAGAGAATCTAATGGCTCACCGGAAAAAGAACTGATCGGATGTTTTTGAAGGTGCAACTCCAGACCTCAGTGCCATAAAACAAGAGCATCTTTATTTTGGGCAAGGGAAACTCAGAACTCAAAGTCAAAGCTCTGTGTTTTCTTCTCTGACTTTGGTATTGAAAGGAAGAAAAACCAACAAAAAGATTAATATTTATTGAAAGCTTACAATGTACCAGATATTAGTCTGTGTACCTAACACATAAACTAATATAGATACACCATATTATTTCAATTAAACCTCTCAACATCTGTTAACATTTGTATTGTTATATAGTCCTCCTTGTAGAAATAAATAAACAGAAATAATCGCAAAGGACAAATGGAGCCCAGTTTTGAAGTCATGGGTTGTGGTTCTTAATTCAGTATTTTAAACCAGAAAGTTATACTGATTTGAATTATTATCTTGATATATTCTGAAAAGTAAAATAAAAGAATATGCATTAAACAATTTATTGACACAGAAAATGTATATGTACAGTTTAGCCGCTTTTAAATTATAAACAGATAAATTCACTAAGTTAATTAAATAAGTAAACCTTGAGAAAATGATTACTGTATTTCCGCACCAAGTAAGATTACATATTCAGAAATGAATCAGATATGAAATGTTTAATTTTACACCTTGCCATTGGGCCATGCTTTGATCTTTATTCTCTAAGAGTATCATGGACATTCTATGCTATTAGTTTCAAGCTGTTATATTACTCTGTACTGAATGAGAGCCATATCAATTACTTGATAATTGAATTATATTTTCTTTCTGAAGGCAACTGATCGAGAGGGAGACTCCATAACATATGCCATTGAGAATGGAGATCCTCAGAGAGTTTTTAATCTTTCAGAAACGTAAGTTAAAAATAATTTCTTACTTAAAAAAAAATGTAAAACAACGTACTGTTAGCAAGAAAACAGACTTCTAATCAGAGGCTTTCAGCTGTTTGTTGTACTTTTTGTTTTCTGTGAATGTTAATGGTAGCTGAGAGGTTAATTCTGGACCCAGAAATCTCATCCAGGAGGCTGTGTATTTTTAACTTTTTACTAAGTAAAATCCACTGATGTGGAAACATTTCATTTGAAAGCCTAACTGGGATTAATGAGATGCTTTTAAAGTTGTCAGCTACTGATAATGACAAGGACATTACTACAAAGGGTTAGTACTAAACTGTTCAGAGTCTTGTAGGCAAAATGTGTTACAAACACATTTTTCAATTTCTGATTAACAGGCATATTTAAGAAAAAAAGCAAAATGAAATAAAATACATCTTCATGCCAAACTTCTTTGAGGTCTCAATCAAGGTCATCCTACTTACCTCTGAACACATCTGAGATATTACTCATGTTAACTGTTGAGAAAACTGGGAGCAGGCATTAAAAAAAGCCATTTAGAGCTTCAGAGAGACCATTTGCTTCCCCTTTCAAGGGGAAGTTCTGTTGTCACATGTGTCTGGTTTCTAAGGAGCTGTGCTTGACTCTTCTGTGATGTTTCCTATGTAGTTTGTAGTTTTACTTTCTGAAAGAATAGAAATGTAAACCTGGCCAACGATTATAAAGTTAAAACTTTGAAAAATGAATACATTGCCATGTCAGATTCAGGAACATGTGGGACCGAATGTCAACACAAGAGGACCATGTGCTGGTCAATTAGTCTTCTCAGAAATACCTCCAATTTCACGTTGAATGGAATTTTACAACCATGAGTTAAAATAGTTAATACCATGGACAAAAATAGTATTTTCCAGACCTTTAGATTTCACAGATAAGTAAACCACTATTTGAAAAATAAAAAGGCTTAATTAACTGTTTTCATTTTTATCCCATAGGGATGTAGAAATCATAAATTAGCTACAGTTTATAATCATCATTAAAGAATATAAAAATGTTAAAGAAAAACTTTAATCAAGGCTGTGTAGTATTAGCATAAACATAGATATGTAAGTCACTGGGCAGACTTAAAAATCTAGTATTTATGGTCAATCGATTCTCAAAAAATGGGCAAAGATAATTCAATCAGGAAAGAACTTTGTTTCAACAAATGAAGCTGGGACAAGGAGCAAGAGAATCAATTTGAATTTTTATCACACATCATTCACAAAAATGAGCCCAAAGTGGATCATAAACTATAATATATGAGATAAAACTACATCCCACTTAGAAGAAAATACACAAGTAAATCTTCATTATTTGGATTAGGCAGTATATTTTAGATATGACACAAAATGCACAAAGGATTGATAAAATCGATAAATTTGATGAAATTGATAAACTGGGTCTCATCAATTTTTAAAAATGTATTTCAAGGAGCACCATTCTAAAGTGAAACACAACCCATAATGAGAGAAAATATTTTTAAATAATGTGTATGATCTGAAACATATCTCAAGGATATATAAAGAACTGTTACAACTTAATAATAAAGGGAAATAACCTAATTAAAATTAGGGTCCTGTACACTGTCTAGCAATACATTTCAATGCATTTGAAATGGAGAAAAGTTACTGACATTTTAACTGCTCCCTTCTTTGAAACTTCTGAGATTCATGTTCAAAAATTTGCACCACCACTTCTCTGTAACTTTCGGGGATTTGAGCAATCCAGATACTGCTATAGTTTGGATATTTGACACTCCAAACCTCATTCTGAAATTTGATCCCCCATGTTGAAGATGGGGCCTGATGGCCTGATGGGTTTTGTTTGGGTCATGGAGGCAGACCGCTTCTGAATGGCTTAGTACCAATGGTAATGAATGAGTGATTGCTTATTAGTTCCCACAACAACTGGTTGAAAAAAAAAAAGAGCTTGACACCTCCCCCTCTCTCTTGCTTCCTTTCTTACCATGTGATCTCTGCACACCTCAGCAGCCCTTCACCTTTGGCCATGAGTGGAAGCGATCTCAGCCCCTCACCAGAAGCAGATGCTGGCATTCTGTTCTTGTACAGCCTGTAGAACCATGAGCCAAATAAGCTTATTTTCTTTATAAATTACCCAGCTGCAGTATTCCTTTATAGCAGCACAAATGGGCTAAGACAGGAATGCTAAAAAAATAAGTAATGTTATACCTTATCAGACACTTCAATATATGCAACTATTGTTTGTGTTATATTTTATATCTTAAAGCAAAATGAAAAAATATTTCCATGTTGATTGCATACTTTAAATTTTACATTATTTGAAGCTATATTACAAATTCTCTCAATAAGCATCATTATAATACCATGACTTTCCTTTCTTTTACTGAAATAAAAGTATGCCAAATTTTTCTTGTAATTCTTTTTAAAAATTAGTAGTAATGAATAATCATCTTAATGTCAGTATGGGTTTACAAAGTATTGAATTGTTGTCATTTTAATAAATTGGCTTAGTCACATAGCCAAGAAAGAAACTGGGTCTTTAAAGAAAAGGCCTTGGTTTTTTAAAAATCACAAACACTGGTTATAAAAATCATTCAGTGCCATGTATTAAGCGGCCATATCTGTATGATTCTCTAATATAATGCATTATTCCAGTATCTTTTCATAGTGCCTGTCTTGATAGTGGCATATGATTTAGCAAATATTCACTCAACAAACACCCACAAATAAGCTTACATTTAAATAAAATGTATAACAACTTGCCTTATAAATATTATAGCCTAATGGTGTAGTTATTTATTAAGAGAGGTTGAGGAATTGCCATCTCTCAAATATTCAGTCATCACTGAAGCATGGGGGTCTGTGATAGAACACTTTAAGTGCTAAACAACAGAATTTCAAAAAAAGTTATTTCCATCTCTGGTCCAAATTCCATTTTTTTTCTTTAATCGCATTTTTATTTATTACATTGGTGATTAATTTGTTTTGACACTAAATTAATGCTCAATTATGTTTTTCATATCAGTTTGAATTTTATGATTATATTGAAGATT